ACCTTAACTAAGTCAACTTCCGTTTCTTGTTAGCAAAGATTCACCTTTAATCAACTAACAATGTGCACTTGCAAGAAGATTAAAGAATATCAAGCATATAAAGACTTTAATCACAAATAAATCAATTCTAAACCCTAGAACATGCTCAAGATCCAACTACACCACAACGATCCCCTTAATGGGGAAATTACTCACTAATCATGCTAATAACAAGATTAATTAACAAATAATCAAGAAAAAACATGATTAATAAGCAATACTAACAACTAAAATAATAATCAAAATAAAGCAAATAAAAATAGAGGAGAAAGAGTTAGAGATTCTCATTGATTGAAGATGAAAGTCTATAAAAAAGATGATCAATTTCTTCTTCAATATCCAAGTTCATCAATGGTGAAACCATTACTTTCTCTCTCTAAACTATCCTAATTTTAACCTAAACGTAGAGAGAGAAGCTCTTCTAAAACTAATTAGAGAATTGAATAGATGATCCTTCCCCTAATTCCCCCAAAAATGGGTATATATACTAAGCTAGGAAAAATAGAAAAATAAAATAAAAAAAAATCAAATAAATTAAAAAGGAAAAGTAAAATAAGAAACTAAATTTAAAAATAAAAGAAAGAAATAAGAAAAAGGGAAAAGAAAAGAAAGAAATAAAAATAAAAGAAAAAGAAAACAAAAACAAAAAAAACTAATTCCCCAAAAGCCAGCTCTTCTTCTTCGACTTCTCTTAGCTGCTTTGAACTCCATTGAAGAGTCTCACCATCACCACCGTTCATCAACCATTATCATCAAATCGAGGCCATTCAATCTTCATTAAATATCATGTGAGAAGCTCGTGCTACGGTTCAAAATGAACCCAGAAGACCGCGCCCGCGGAAGACTAGGCCGCGCCCGCGGTGGTCTAAGCCGCGCCATCTCCCAGACATCTCCTCGGCATCTACCGAAAGTTGGATAAGGGCTGGAAGGACAGGGCTGCGCCCGCGGCAGAAGAAGACGCGCTCGCGGCGGCCTGGGTAGCTTCTTGCTGTGAATTTGGTTTGATTTGTTGCTTAATTGTTGCTGGTTGTTGACGGTGGTGCAGGTGCGTGGCTGGGTTGTTGTTGCGATTGGTGATTGGAGAGGCTGCCACTGCTGTTGTTGTTGGCGCTGTGTGGTGGTGTATTGGTTGCGGCGGAGAGGTGTATTGTGGTGGCTGATGAATTTGGGGCTAATGGGTTGGTGTGAAATGGTGGTGGTGCGGCTAATTGCTGGTTTGTGTGGTAAAGGGGGGCAGCAGTGGTGTTGGTTGCAAATTGGTGGTAGTGCGGCTGTTGTTTCTGTTGCAGTTGGGGTTGCGGGTTGGTGATGCGGGAAGGGTGAGTGAGTAGGGGAAAGGCGGCTGCAGCTCGTGTTGGTTGGTGATGCTGTAGGTTTGCGTGGTGAAGGGGGCAGCAGTGGTGGACATGGTGGTCAGGTGGTTTGGGTGGCTGTTGTGGCTGCGTGGTGGTTGCTCGAAGTTGCAGTTGGGGTGGTGTAGGATAGTGAGGAAGTGGCTGTGGTGGTCCTTAGTGGTGGTGCGGCTGCTGAGTTGGAGTGGAATTGGTGGGTGCTGGTGGTTGCAGCAGGGGTTGATGTTGGTTCAGGGGTGAAATTGGTGGTGTTTGATTTGGACCTTGAATTCGAGCCTACACACAAACAAACCCGAGGATAAAAGTGTGAAACCGAGACAAATAAAATAAAATAAATAAAAAGGAGATAAATAAAATAAAATAAAAAAGAGAAGTAACACTAAACTAATAAAAATAAATAAAAGTAAAATAGAAATAAGAGAAATAAGACTAAAACTAATAAAGACATAAAACTAATAAAGACATAAAACTATACAAGTAAATAAAATAAACTTAAAACTAATTAAAACTATGAAAGTAACAAAGGAAAGAAACGAAATAACATAAATCGAAAGCAAATAAAATACGAAAATAAACTAATTCTAATTAAATAAAGAAATTAAATTAAAACATACTAAAACTAAGAAATAAACTAGAAACTTTATTAAAAAGAAAATAAGAGAATAAAAGGGAAAACAAGGAAAAATAAACATGAAAATGACTCTAAAACTACTCCCTAAGAGTGACATAAATGTCACTCATCAAATAACCGAACCCATCTTGGGGCTCAAGGTTGGCTGCCACATGGTTAGCTCACAATGGATGTGAGTTGCCTCTAGGAGTAAGTGAGGAACTGGTCCTCACTTTACCATGTGATACTTGTCTGGTTAAATAGTTATTCCTTGGTTTATTTAACTATGAATTGAATTCAACATTCTTTCCATGTGGGATGTTTTTGAGAATAAGACCCACATTGAAAGATGAGAGGAATTTACAAGGAAGCACTCCTTATAAATAGCCAAGTTATACCTTGGGATTGTTCACTTGAGTAGGAACTCGAAAAGGCATCTCTACTTGAGAGAAAACCTTTAATTTCATATAATACTTGAGCAGTTTTTTGGTCCGACCCCGGCTAAACTGTAGGTAAAAGAATGGTCGGGTCGAGTTGCGGGCGGATATCGTAGGAGGTCTCTGCACTTGCAAGACTTGGCTTTGAAGTAAGAGCTCCGGGTGTGAGCGAAGCACACGACAACGGTAAGATCATCTTTTATCTCTTTCTTGTTATTTAGTTATATTAATTATGAGAGGATCTTGGGGGTCTGGCATTGTTCCGCGGTGAGTTAGACTTACCAAAACCCAACAATCATAAACATTATTCAAAGTGAATTAGACAAATAGTGACAAAAGTCAAAACGTTTTATATATTTAAGCACGAAGAAAGTAATATGTATTGATTACAAAGTTACCACAAAATGATTAAATTATCCCCAATATAAATAATTTATATCACTACAACAAATTAACCTTTGTGCCACGAGAAAAATTGTGGAACAAGCTAAGTTAAAAATACATGCGGCTATGAAATCAAGTTCGCCAAGAGAATTTTTGAAATTTAAATCTCGTCGCATAGGAGGTTGTGGCTATCAATTTGCCACAAAAAAATGAATGTTATCGTGGTTAATAAAGTCTATTACAAAAAATATTATTGTGAGCGATTAAAATCTAGAAAAGGTAATGCGTCATTGCGAGCTGACCAAATATTTTTTCATTCCAATAGGTTTTTGATATCTTCTATTAGATAGATGATATCCTCTACTGGCTGGATAATATCATCTACTGATTGGATGATATCCTCTAATGGATGGATTATATTCTCTATTGGCTATATAATATCATGGCTAGACAATATCATATAGCCAATAGGGGATTCATCCAGCCATGATATCATATAGCTAATAAAGAAAAATCAACTAGCCAATAAAGGATATCATAGACACAATCATAAATGAAATCATACAGCCAATAGAGGATATCATCCAACCATGATGTCATATAGCCTATAGAGGATATCATATACTTCCTCTGTTCTTTTTTACTTGACCTGTTTCTTTTATCACGCTTTCTGATGCAAAACTTTAACGATCAATAACTTAAATTCTGCATAAGTAAAAATCATAAAATATATTATGTTATTACTTATTGAGACGAATCCAAAATGAACATACATGAACATATTTTTCCTTAAATATTATTCATAGAAGACGGTCAAAGAAGGGTTGGTGAATAGTGTAAAAGTCAAAGCGGGTCAAGTAATAAAGAATGGAGGAAGTAATTAATAGCGGATATCATCCAGCCAGTAGACGATATGCATAAATTATTGGAGGTTATAAATTATTTAATGGATTATATGTATAATTTTTTTGTAGATATGTATAAATTGTTTGATGATATGTATAAAAATGATGGGACCTCCATTGAAGAGGTCGTACTAAAGGTCATGGGTATAACATAACTTTCTAATTTCTCAATCAAAATACATGAATCTGTCATCAAAATAAAATCATATGTGACAATCAATTTCGACAATTATACATCACATAAGAAAGCCCCAATTAGATTATTTGAGCATTTTTCGAAAAATTCGAGAATCTCAAGCAATATCAAAATTCAATTTTTGTCCTCTCTATAGTCTTCAATTCACTGAAACTTTTTTCTATCTTTCGCCATGAATGACCTCGCTCCTCTCCTTCGTCGTAACTACCACCATCTTGTCATCGGGTGGAAACTTGTTCTTTATCGTAGGAAGATAACAATGATATATTTCTAATATATTTAGGATTTACTAGTTGTCCCATCGCGCGTAAGGCGAGTGATAGTCCAAAATGGTTAATATCGGGTGTTGATATTGTTGATCGTTTTTCTTAGTTTTAATTTCTGTATATACTTTGAGAATTTAGTGTTTTCCTTTAAATGTAGGAATAATTTGCATTGTATAATGAAATAAAGTATGTTTTTTTAATAAAATTAAGTGGTATTACAATCTCACAATAATGACACTTTGATGTGTTGGTTAAATATATACTTCGTATTGTGTAAGTAAGTTGTGCGTATCATATATGATTACTTTAATAAAAAAAAAAAACAAAAAACAATCGAGTGATTTTAATGTGTGTAAATGTTTTGCTAGTTGTAAGTGGAAACTTTCGTGACTTTTTTTTAAAGACGAAAAAAGTTTAAGTTTTTGAGTGAACTATTCAAACTTAGAAGTCTATGTTGCTAAGTGATTTTTAGGAGCGATATTTTTGTGGTACTCTAATTTTGTACTAATTAGATTGTACATAGTATATTTTAAGCTTTTTTGCTATTTTTAGAATGTTCTCATTCTTATTCTTGTGTAGTACGTTTATAGTGTTATTATAAATAGAATAAGAAGAAACATGCATTACGATTTTCAATGGCACTAATTCACTGTTGAAAATTGCAGATGAAGAGACACGAAATTGACATAATGGTTTCATTTTGCTATTTATTTCTTTTTTTAAGGGGTTTTCTTTGTGAAATTCTTCTTCCTAAAAACGATCTCAAAAAGACACACTTTGAGTTCATCTGAATTTTCATCTGCTGCTTAAAATGGCTGATCTTAATGGTGGTTCTTCGTCAAAGTTTCTTTTGGTTTCAAGAAAACATGAGAATTCGTATTTCAAGTCGTTTGCTAGGAGGAAAGCTGAACTCAAAGGTTCCTTAGCCGTGAATTTGCATGTCCGTACAAAGGCTTATCGGAGATATGATGTTTTATGGCGGGAGTTGGCTGAGTTAGAGGCTGAGATGTCTCAGTTTCAGGATTTTGAAAAAAATAAGATCAGGGCATAAGAGGGTTAGGGTTGATAGTGACTGTGTTGGTGTAATAGAAGTTGTTAGTGGTAGTGATGGTGAGGCAGAAGTTGGTTCTAAGTCAAAGGCATCTCGGTCCGTGGGTGTCGTAGGAGAGGCGTCTGATGTGGTTGTTAATGTCGAGTGTGGGGTTGTTGATATGGAGATTTCCTCGGATGATGAGGATGTTCAGTTTATTGCAGAGGTTCCTTGTCGAGTTACCGAGGAGGTGCAAGGGGAAGGTGCTGATCAGGCTGCTTCGGTGGTTCATTAGGAACAACCAAAACCACCAGTGGTTCATGAGGAAGTTCAGCCTGATGTAGAAGAGCAACAGGAAGATGATGAGGAAGAAGATGAGGAGGAAGATGAGGAAGGATATGAGAATCAGACACATGACGAGGAAGAAAAAGATGAAGTGGACGAGGAGAGTGAGCCTTAAGAAGAGCAGGTTCAGATGGAAGTGTTTGAAGAAGAGGAAGGGGATGATGATGATGATGAGGGACAAAAAGTGGATCCCGGGGAGTTTAATGTAGATTCGAGGATGATTTTGGAGATAACATATATCATTACTCTCCCGGGAAATCTTATGTAGATTCGGAAGCATTCAAGTTTCCCTCGCCCCAGTAGTTCGGGTAGTAGTTTGTTTAGGTTTTTTTTTTGGCAAGCTTTTGAAGTTTAGATTATAGTTTTTTGTATTAGTTTGAAGTTGTTAGTATCTTTTTCGTTTATTAGATGTAAATATATATATCTTTATTAGGTAGTAGGTGGTAGTTGAAAATTCTAAGTAAAAGAAATATGGTTAATATTCAGATTATTGTTTTTGGAGTTCTGTTTTGTTCTGTTTCTTTGTTTTAAAATAATATATGTATCTTTTGTAACATGGTGTGCTGTGATAGTATTTTGAGATGTGTTATTGGTTTTGTCATGGAATGCTATTATTTTTCTTCCAAAAGATTTGTTTTTTTGAACTTGTATGGCTTATTAGGATCATTTTGCATTTCAAGCAAATTTATGTTGTGATTAGCTATCTTGAAAATAATGATGAGAGTGTAGAGATAATAAAAAATGAGGTCTAACTTAACTATTGTGGCGGAGTGGTAGAAGCTTTAATAATTTTAGATTATTTGAGCACTCTTAAGTATTGGATCAGAAATTTTAGTGGTGACACAAGTTGTCTAATGTTGTACATGCTTCTAGAGAAACTATGTTATAAAAGCTTTGAAAGTTTAATATTTGTAGCATGTTTTTGTCTGACTTTTAATGCTGGATCCATGAAACTTGATGCTAGGTATAGAATGTTAGCCTTTGAAAAAAATGGATCTTTTCCTAAATTTCAGGTCTTTTGATTAAGTTTAATATCAATCTACAAAGTCTGAAAAAACTCCTACATTTATGCCTTTAGATGAGTGTGATCAGGTTGTATGAGCTCTTAAGTCTAATATTTATGTTGGAGACGTTATTATAATTAATTGCATGTTTGACTCATGCTTAAACTCTTTCATACTTAGTTGAAATTCTGGATATAAATTGAATACTTCTATATATTTTTTTCTGGTCTTGTGGTCTTTATGGGTAAGGATGGTAAAAAAACGTGTGTGAAAGCCTCTGATTCAAGGTTCGTCGTCTTCGATGATTGAGGCGAATGCTAGGGCAAATAGTATGTCAGCTAGCTGTGAAGGGGCAAATTTTTATTTTGTATTTTCCGAGCGCTACCATTCAAATGGAATTATTATATGTGTTGTTTGGACAATTGAATTTATAATGTATTCTGCTTATGTTTTAGTCAATAATACTTTTTTTTTCATTGACAGGTTTTCGCGATGCAGAATGTTCCATTAGATTTTGCTAGAGAGCATTTTCGTAGACTTGGGAAAACGACTGATGTTGTGCTGCAACTTTATCATACAGAGTTCAAAGCCAAATTGAAGATAAAGACTTACGAAGGAAAGAATGGTGCAATGTTTTATTAAGGATGTAGTTGATTCAGTGATCGATGAGTACGAAGTTCAGGTTGATGAAGGTACTGTAATTGAGCTTTTGCAGCGGAATCCTATTGTTTAATATATAAATTTACAACTGAGTACTGATTCTTGATGTATTAATATTGTAGGCAAGAGTGTTGAACTTGTTATATCTGATGATTTAATAAATTTAAGATTTTTGATGATTTTGGTATTTTTGTTTATATTGTTTTGTAAAGCTTATCTTTTACATGACTTGATATTTATTGTTTTTAGTTTTGTTTGAGATTTTTCTACTTTTATTAATCAAATATTTCATTTTTCAAATTTTCACTACCTATATTGCTGTATTTGTCTTTCTGTCCATATTCAGGAGTTTTTTGAGATCTACAGATAAAGAAATGTATAATTTAGTGATTTAAAGAAAAAGAAATGTATAAAGGAGGAAAAAAAAGGTTGTGAGATAAAGTAAGGGAGGGATGTAGTGATGATTTAAGAGAAAAAAGAGGTTCTGAGATAGAGAGAGGGAGGGATATAGTGATAATTTAGAATGCAATTAAATCTAGGGGAAGATGGCAGAGTTGGTTAGTGATGAGTAATAACTTGGAAATGCTAAATATCAAGGTGTTTAGAGAGTATAATATCAGAAAATATATCTCTGAATGGTATATACTGTGGCTTGTTAGTTTGCTAGTTTTCAGAGTTTAAGGCTAGAAAATATGAGAAAAATCACATATAGGACAATAATCTAAATGCACGCACAAACATTTCGGTTATTTTTATGACATTTAAAACATTACTGTTTAGTTTTCTTTAAAATGACTTGTCAAAGGTGTCAATATCATCAACTTAGGCTCCTCTTGTCGTAGTCTGATTGCAGTAGTCAGAAGCTATAAGTTAGACAAGGAGTTTAGAGTGTTAAGCTTAATGAAAAGTTTGTTGATAGGTAAAGCTAAAAATGTATGCTTGATAATTAGAGTGTGAGGCCTAATCAAGAGACTGTTTGAAAAAGAATCCAAATTTGTGAAGTCAATTTGCTTTACACATCAGTGGTTTGTTGAGTGTGTAGATAATTTAAAAGAGTTTATTTTGGTAGCCCTTGATTTCTAATTCTGGTGAAGAACTTTTAGTTTTAGAAGATAATATTTGTTTAGATTGTTTTGTGTGAATGTTCTGACAAAGAGTCTTCCTGCTCTTCTCTGTATGAATGTTGTAATTGCTATTTGATTCTATCTCACATCACAATTTTTCATGAATACAAATTATGGCATTGATTTATATTATTGTAGTTAGATGAAAATTTAGTTGACTATTATGGCATTTACTTGACATTATGTTTTTATTGTTTTTATTATTGGTGAAATGGAATCTAAAGTTACATTTTTATTGTAATGGTTACTTGTAAAAGTGTTAGTTTTAGTTCAGACTTGATTTAATTAATGGTGTTGTAGTTTCAAAGTTTTGACTTAGCTTCTATATTGAATAATTTTGTGAAGGGTTTGAAGTATTTTTAGTTCAGCTGTTACATAGACTTACATTTTAATTCATTTGTTTCAAGTTCTAAGTATTCTAACATTAGAAATTTCCATGGACGAAATCTCTCTATCGTTTACCATTATCTATGAAAATGATATTCAGCAACATGAAAAATTGGTATGCATTATTGTTTCTGTTTTTGTTCTTTGTAGTTGTATTGTTATTGCGAATTTGTGCTATTTAATTCATTTTTGTTGATGATGAGTTTTTTGAATTTTGATTTTGGATTTTAATTTTGTGCTTGTACTGTGGTGTGTGTTTCTTGTGTGCCTCTAAATAGCGTATTCCAGATGGCTTTAGGGATGTCCTGGATGATGGTTTTTTCAACATAGAGTTGTCAGTGGATGGTAATGACAAGTCATGGTTTGTTACTTTAGTGCATGAAGAGTGTGGTAGTGGATGGGGAACATATCTTGATGCTGGGTGGTTTGATTTTTGTAGAGGATAATGGTGTAGCTGCTGATGATGCTTTGATATTTACTTATTTTGAGGATAGCTCATTTGATGTTGAAATCCGCAGACCCAGGGGAAGTAAGAGAACTGAGGAAAATGGATATGGTGGAAGTTTGGGTACTTCAGGTAAAAGGCGTGAGAGGAAACTTGCTATTGAAAGGCCCTCATCTAAAATGATCGAAACTAATGCTTGACTTGCCAAGCTTGTAGCTGCCTGTCGTGAACATCATTTCTTATTCACTTTTACCAAAGCTTATGTTGATCAAGGAATTATAGTATGATTTTTGTAACCTATCTTCAAGTTTGTTTTTTTTTTTCATTCTATTCTTCTTTCTCTTGGCATAATTATTTGAATTTGTGTTTTATTTTCAATGACAGAATGTTCCATTCGATTTAGCTAAACAACATTTCATTGATTTCCCTGAGACTACCGATCTCATTCTTTCGCTTGCCAATACACATTTCAATGTGCAGCTGAAAGTCTTGAAGAAATATAGAGCTATCAGTAAATGTTCCATTAGAAATGGTGTTAGTCAGTTCATTGATTTCAATAATGTTCAAGTAGACGTAGGTGCTTTTATTAAATACAGAAAAGGAGTCCCTATTGTGTTTGACATTGATTTAGTTTCAATGTAAACCTATGGAATGACCATCTTAATTAAGACATTGTTGTTGTTAGGTTTCCTTTTTTTTAATATAATAATGGTTATAAATTGTTTTTGGTGGATCTTTCTTTTTTTGTTCCACACATCTGAATAACTACATGATACAAATATTTATTTCAAGTGGAAAATGATATACTATAATCCGATTATATATTTTTATATAACTAAAACATGGGTTACATCTTCAAGCATAATATATACATAGCTGCTAATTTTTCATATAACTAATACTTGATATTGTATATTGCTACCTATTTACATATATATCATACTATATAATTATTACATTAGTCTTAACACCAAAAAGCATTGTAGTTCCTAGCCGGTTGCAAAATATTTAAGTGCCTAGTTTAGGCTAATCCCTTAATAAGTGGTGTTATTTAGGAACAAGTAATTTTACTATACTTGTTCCTAGTTATTGCCAAACATTACAAAATATTTATAAAATATATTTTTGTGACTGTTGATACTTGTTGAAGCTGTTGTTGACATGATCTTCTATGAGATTAGTTTAATGATTCTAGGAATCAACTTGATCATCATCTTGCAATATGAGTGTTCGGTGCCTGGTAACCCTCTCCTGCTTACTTTGCGTAACATGATTTCAGATTTCACCTGCACCTTAGACTCGATAGCCTTGCCTTCCTTCGCACCTAAAGAAGCCTGATCTGATTCCATTGCACTGTCAATGACTATTTTGGTAGCGGTGTCTTGAGCCGCCATTTCAATCACTTCTTTCGATGGTGTGTGGATATCTGATTCTGCTTCATTTTTAGGCCTCTTCTGTTTCTGGCTGATATCTTCAACATTATCATGGTTGTTGG